TGCTGAATAAGAATTTATTATATGGAATGATAAAGATAAAGTGTTATTAAAATAATTTTAATTTCCATAAGAATTTAAAGCTATATAAAATATATCATTAATTGATTTAGAAAAAGATATAATAATTTTATTAAATTAAACATTAAACTAATTTTGTGTTTTTTACATAAAAGGAAATAAAATTGGGAATTTTATAATTTATAATACGAAGCATGTAAGTGCTATTAACTTTTTTATTTTCGATTCTTAATAAAATATATACTCTCTAGGCTCTGATTCTTATATTTATATCTGGAATTTATAAACTATAAATCCTATTAAATCTATTAATCATTAGGTAGGAAATGATTATACAAAATTGCTTTTTATTAGCTAAAACAAGAGTATTTTGATTATTAAAAATAATAGTTTTTTATATTATATGAATAGTAATTTTGATCTTTTTAATTTTCAAACTAATTTTCCCTCAATAGTTTAATAAATAGATTATATTTAAAATAATAAATCGCTTATTTTGGTTGTTTGTACAAGTTAAGTTTATATTATTTAAATTGAAGAAAACAAATATAAAATTTTAGACAGTTTCGAACAATAATTTATTATTTGTGATTTTTAGCAAAAACTGAATAAACTTTTAATTATTGATATAAATAATTTAGTATATTTCTTTAATATAAACATAAATAAGTTTTAGTTAATTTTAAAAGAACAATTAAGCCCGGTAAGATAGTTTAAATATAAAAGTTTTCTATATAGATAAATTAATAATGAAGAATTAATAATATTTGGAAGAGAAGCGATAATATTAACAAAATAAGGATAATTAATAAAAAGGAAAATAATAAAAAACTTTGCCTAAAACATAATGGTTTAATAATTATAAATAAACGGTATAGCATTTTCCCCTTTAAAAAAAAAGATGGTTAGTATAAGTAGTGATGGTACATTTATTATATGGCAAGTAGTTAATATTTAAAAAGGCGATTTTAAGTAATTAGCATCTAGGCCTAATCCTAATTGTAATTTTCTAGATGGATTAAAATGCGATTTTGCAGCCTTAAATGTACTTTTTTAAAATGAGGTTATTTTTGCAGTATAATATAGTAGTTAAGAAGTTATATTATGGGAACATAATCCTTTAAATAATGATGTTATTCAAAAATATAAAGGAAAATAATATTTATATGTCCTATATTAAGAAATAATAAATTTTGGGATTCTTAATTCAATATTTTATATTTATAGTCTTTAAAGTTTTATAGGTATAGATATTTCTAAGGATGAATTATCCTCGGATTTTAGAGTCTAATACTATGATAATTTTTTTTATGCAGAAGTTATTTTAAATAGCAATAATGAACTTACAATACTTTCTAATTAAGATTAATTAAAATAATCATTTTTATCTTCATATTTTGATTATAGAATAACTAAAAGTTCTAGTAAATATAAAGGTAGTTCTTAAGTCACTAAAAATGTTTTAAGTAAAACTACTATATTTATTTCTACTTCATAAAGACTACTGTTTTGGTGGAATTATAATACTAATGAATCAGGTTCTATACCTAATTTAAATATAATATTAGGAATTTCAGTTGAATCTTAAAATATGAATATGATGCTTTTTTTAAAAAATAGCACTATTATTTACTTCACGGCTTCTATTAATGTTTCTGGAAGCCTTTCTTACACAAAACAATCTTAGTTTGATTTTCCTTCAAATATCGAAGATAGGTAAACAATGGTTTTATCTAACCCGGAAATATTTATTTTTTATCAAAATACAGTAAATAAATACATTAAGAATCAGATTTTAGTAATGGGATCTAATTTTTAAACTTAATATATGTTTAATTTCGAAGAAAAAATATCATGTATAGTGGCTGATACGTAAACTAGTTTGGTTTTTGTAGGACTTAATAATGGAAAAATAATGTTTGGGTAATTTTATACTAATTATTTGGTTTTTTAAATGAGCAATTAAGACATTAATACTCCCTATTAATCTTTTTTTTACAGCGATAAATTAAAAATGGTATTTTTGGCACAAAAGAATATGTGTATTTTTAATATATAATAAATTTAAGGACTTTCTTGTTAAAATTTCTTCTAAAATTTTAACGGAAAAGATAAATATTTTCAAGCTGATAATTTTATTTCTTTTCTTTATGTAGATGATGAAGTTAATTTGGTTATTTTTTCAACTAACACTAAAATTTTTATATATGGGATTCAAGGAGATTTTATTTAAAGCTTTGATATTTAAGCTGGCTACTAGTATATTTTTGATGACTAAGTTAATAAAAAAATTATAGTTTTTTACAAATAATTTAACGTAATAATTTACGAATATTTCCCTTTACAAAAATTAATATTAATAAATTAACAAATTGAAGATACTTTTATTTCCTAAAAAGTAATTTTAGACCCTATAAAGAGTCGAATAATGAGTGTAGACTACCATACGACATTAAAAATAATGTAATATAATGTAAAATTTTTAAATTCCTTAAGTATTGTTAATTGTTGTATATATAATATTTTTTACGACATTTAATATGAGCGTTTGTTTGTGGTTTTTCTAGAAAATTTTAAAGAAAACAAAGTTGTTATATATAATTTAGTAGTCTAATCAAACGAACCATTTTTGCAATCTTTTAAAAGAGAAATTATAGAAATACATATATATAAATAAATAGTAATATTCCAAGATATATTTACTGTCTATATATATGATAGGGACAAAATGACTATTCTAAATGAAATAATTTGCAAAAACCCTCCTATATATAATTTATTAGTATTCGAAGATGAAAACCTCATTTTTTTTTACGCAGAAAATCAAAATTCTAATATAGGAGTTTTCAATATAGAAAACGGTAAAAGAATTACAACTATAGGAGATTCATAATAAATAGAATAAGGAAACATCCATTAAGTACTACTTTTAGAGGCAAACCACTAACTTATAATTGCCAAAGTAAATCAGAATTTTATTTTTGCTGTCAATTTATTAACTTTTACATATTCAGGCTATTATACATTACCTTATTAGACAGCCCTGAAGTATTTTTGGGCTTCCGAGAGTTTAAATTTGCTTTTTTTGGTTGATTTTTCGGATGAATTTCGTATTTATTCAATAGACAATTCTTTGTCTTTAATGAAAGAAATAAATGGTAAAAACAAAGAAAATCCGCTCGTTTAATTATAAGATAGGATTTTTTATTCGGATTAAGATCATAATATATGGAATATAAATAAATAAGATGATTCTTTTGAAGTTGAATAGGGTGATTTAATACTAAATATTGTAAAAATAAATAATTATGTATATATTTTGGGTTCTTTTGTTTTCCGGAAGTACTATTTTGAATAAGATAATAAAATATTAAAATTTTAAGAAATTTAATTCAAAAATTGTATAAAAAAAATTGAGATTGGGAAAATATATGCCTGCTTTTAAGACTCGAGTTTTTTTTTTTAATGTGTGTCTTTTTTACCGAATTTTTAAGTTCTTTTTTTACCTGCTTTTTCTGATGTTTTAGAAGATGTTTTTTAAATTATTTTAGTTGAAAAAAATATGGAATTTCTACTTTTTTTTAGAAATAATGATAATGTAGTTTTCTTAAGAGTCGCAATTTCAGGAAACAAAGCAATTATTAGACTTAAAAGGACTATTTCATAAATTTAGGTTGAAAATCATATTTATTCGGTGACTTTTTTGTAATATAAAAATAGTTTTTACTTATTATATAATAGAAATACAGATGTATAAGTCTATTTATATTCCTTTTAAAAATATGAACACGATGAGAATATTATTAAGACTATTATGTTACCCTAAAAGGCTGAATAAGTGGAATTAAATGGAAACATGATCTTTTTTTTAGTATTGAATAGTTTCATATCTTGCATTTAGGTTTTTAATTTCAGTGATTTTAATTATATAGGGAATATACTTTTATTTTCGAAAAGCTATCAGCTTTATTTTAGTATATAGGGGGAGTATTTATTAGTTTATAATCTTTATAGGATATTTATTTATTATTTATAAGAGAATTTTCAGCTTATTTATGGGTTTTAAAATGTTAAGGATTTAGGGAATATTTTAAAGGTGAAATTGTTGGAAAATGAAGGTATTTTAATTGTAATTTCTGAAGAAAAATTAAGCGGATTTTTAATATTGTAATAAAATTAGAAAATTTTCGAGTTTATGATAAATTTTGTAAATTTATCATATTTTAAATTCGAATATATAAATGATAATAAATATTTGGCAATTACTTTGGAAGGAGTTAGTTCTTTTTAGACTTTTTCTTATAGTTTTTTATAAAACAGCCCAAAACAATGTTATTTTTTGTTAAAAAATGTACTCTTTTAGGAACAATTAAATGATTAAATTAATACTTTTTAAACTTTATTTCAAAAAAATGTAGAAAAAGTAGATTATTAAAAAATTCTGATAGATATCTAAGACTTAAAGAGTCTTTATTTTACCGAAAAATTAATTTAAGCTAACTACATGGTTAAATTTAAAAATTCCCTAGAAAAAGTTATTATATATAACCATTCTTTTATAAATTTAGGACTATAAGATTTGATTATAGAAAATTTTGTTTTTTTTTTCGAAGTTAAAGAAAAGTAGATTTTTAGTGAAAATACTAAAAATGTATGTTTTAGAAATGTCACTTTTGAAGGAAAATTTAATAAAAATTTTTAAATTTAATTTATTAATCTTGATGTAGTTATTCTAGAAAAAATCACTATTAAATGCGATTTTTTGGAAAATTTTTATTCCAGTCTTTTTATTTTTGAAAATGTATAAGAAGTCTATATTATTGATTTATTATTTTAAAATTCTAAAATATAATTCTAATTAAATACTACATAGACTTTAGAAAATTCCTTATTTTAATTTGCTTTTTGTAAAAAAGTATATTTAGAATAAATATTTTTAAATAACTTAAGTTTTATTTTCAATAATAATAAAAAAAAATTAGTAAATACCAAAAATTATACGAAGTTATACGAAAAAGTTGAAAATGAAATTTTCGCAATTATATATTTAAAAGAACTAATAAATATAGAAATAAAAAATTTAAAAATAAATAAAATTGAATGCTAAAATGGGAATAACTATTTTATTTATTAACAAACTATTTAAAGCATATAAATAAATAACATAATTTTCGAAAACTCAAAAAATATTAGTTTTTTATTTTCCACAAATAGTTATGAAACAGAAGATAATACATATACTTTTTAATAAGATTTTTGTTAAATTTCTGATTCTATTTTCCGAAATCTAGTTTAATTATAATTCCCTGTTATATAAATTTAACAATCATATTCTTAAAATTTTACATAAAATCTTTTTTAAGATATTTAAACATCTGCAATAAATGGAGGTGCAATTCTTTTTAATAATACATCAACAACTTTACTTCAATAAAATTTCTTTTATAACTGCGTTGCTATAAATGGGGGTGCTCTTGCCTTTTTATAAAATATTGTGAATTTCAAATAATAAATAATTGATTCTATTTTCGAAAAATGCAAAGCAGAAAGCTCCGCAGGTGCTATATTTATCGAAAATACAAATTTGTAAATTATTAATACTACTTTTTCTTTAAACACTGCATATATAGGAGGTGCAGTTCGCTATTTTGAATAAATGCCATTATTTATAAAATAAATGGTAATGTAAAATCATTTAACAAGTGTTTCTTTTTTAAAAAATAAAGCTGAATTATATGGGGATGATATAGCTTCTTTTCCTATAAATATAGAAATTTTATTAGATAAAAAAGAAGGAAGCGAAATGGAATTAATAGAAGAAGAAGATAGTTTAATAACAAAATAAGAAACTGAGAAAAAAGTAATAAAAAAATACACTTTAAAAAACTTCAAAAGCGGACAAACTTTAAGCCTTTAATTTAAACTAAAAGACCAAAAAAATTAAAACATAAGTTTTTCAGTATAAAAAGTTTTGAATAAAGAATATCCATTTTAAATAGTAAAAGAACTTCAAGAATATAATATCAAAATAAGCCCTTCTAATGAAAATGAAATTAAAATTTTTGGTCAATATATAACTGATTATTAAAAGTTTGATGATAAAAACTACCTTTTTTCTATCAAAGATTTAATGGTAGTATCTAATCCATCGCCTTAGAATTTCCTTTTAGTTGAATCTTCAGCTATTTAGAGACTTTAACCGTTTTTTTTAGAATAAGATCTTATATATAATGGTCCTTATTATACTAAAATTTCCATTTAATTTTCAGAATGTTCCAGTGGTGAAATATACCAAAAGTAAGCCCAAATTTTCATCTGTTTGGAATGTAAAGAAGGTACATATTCTATAGGAAAACCCTCCAAAGAAAACTACGAAAAAGATACTTGTAAAAAATGTCCGTTTTAAGCGGAAAAATGCTATCGAGATTAAATCTTATTAAAACAAGGTATTTGGAGAATTTCGAATACAACTGATTTACTTATTGAATGTATAAATGAAAAAAGTAACTGTAATGGAGACTATTCCACTTTTTATTGTACACAAGGACATATAGGGCCTTTATGTGAAGAATGTGATGTTTATGGAGTCTTATGGGATTAAAGATATCAAAGAAATAATAATTTAGAATGTATAAATTGCCAATCTATCGATAAATGGTATTATTTAATTCCAATTTTTTTTTTTTAGCTTGGTATTGTTGTTTATATAATATTAGCTATCAAAATTTCACTTTAAATAAGTAAATTTATAGCTATTGGATATTATATGAGAAGATTAAATGTTTTAAATATTTATAAAAGTGCATATAAAGATACAACCGATATGAATATGAAGGCATTAGTAAATTATCTATAAATTACTTAGTTTGTAAATACTTTTGAATATTAACTTCCAAGTTTTATGACTTTTTTACCAAAATATTTAGGTTATTTAAAATATATAAAAATATTGTATATTGAAATATATATATATATATATATATATATATATATATATATATTATTAAATAATTTAAATATATTTTTTTATATATTTATAATAAAAATATATAGGCTCTCCAATAAAAAATATATTATATTCTTTCGATTGTTATTTTACTCAGTAAAATTCTAAAAAAGAAGTATATCCAATTGTTTTTGTCAGAAATACATGGAGTTTATTAGTTCCTATTTTTTATTTAGTTATAATTTTTATAATTTATGTAGTTTTTGTTAAAATAAAACTATTTAAACATAGAAGAGTAATAAAAAATATTTTATATATTATTATTTACAATATCGAAAATTTTTTCAGGAATTTTTTTTAATACTAAATCAAAAAAAAAGACAATAATCTAATAAAAATGTTTTTTTTTGTTGATAGTTTAAATAAAAAATTAGGAAAAAGATATATTAATTTAAAATATATTTATTGTATTTACAATTTATATTTATATATTTATTTATATATATATTTATATATTTATTTATATATTTATATAATTTTTTTTTATATATTTCTACATAGTCTTATATGATAAATGGATTTGTTTTTATTATTTTTTTTTTATAACCAAATCTTACTTAAGTTTTTCTTACTATGATGTCTTGTAGAAAAATAGGAATTAAAAAATATATTTTATCTGATATTACCTATGAATGCTATACTGATTTACATTGGAAATATATAGCTATTATTTGTTTTCCTGGACTTTTTATATGGGCATTATTCATACCTATTTTTATTATTAAAATAATTATAAAAAACAAGGAAAAATTAGATTATGCTACTAATAGACATAGATATGGATTTTTATATTAAGATTTCAAATATTAATATTTTTATTGGGAATTTATTAAAATATATAAAAAATTATTAATAGTTGCTACTTTAAATTTCTACGAAGGACCATATATGAATAAATTAATTATTATTTTGGTACTTTTTTTAATTTATTAAATACTTTTGAATAAAAAATAACCTTATTTAATGAATTATTTTTAATAATTAGACAAAAAATCAATAACTATAATTATAATCCTAATTTTAATGAATATCTTCCTTTATAATGACCCTGGTTATATTCAATCATAAATAGTGTATATTGCTTTACTAATTATATAAACTGCTTATTCATTATATTTGATTTTAGAGTTAGTAAATGCGAAGTTATAAAATTATAAGAAAATCTATAATATGTTTATATTAAAAATTAACTAATTTTTTCCTTTTTTAAGAAAATATATAAAACAAGTACAATAACCTAAAATGAAAACTTTTTATCTTTGGAGAAAATTAAGAAAACATTTTTTAAAATATGTAAAAAGAAAGAAAAAAAGTCATTATCAATGTAATAATAAAAATATTTTATATAAATCAAATATTATTATTAAAAAAAAAAGCTTAAATAATAAAAATTGCTTAAGATTAAATAAAAACAAATGCAGGTAGTATTGGAAGTATATTTTTATTATATATATATATATATATATATATATATATATATATATATTCTATTTTTATATTCTATTTTTATTTATATTTTTTTTTGTTCTTAGTTGCCAATTAATTTGAAAGTTAAATATAAATGGAAAAAAATAATTAAAGTAAATTATGTTTTTTAGATGATCTCTAATCAAATAAATTATAATCATCTCTTATATATAAAAATTTAAAGAAAATAAATAATATAAATGATTAGAAACAGATCGATTAAATTTAAGTTATAGAATTTAATAGTTAAATAAATTAAAATAAATCCTCAGATTATTTTAGTAAATATCAATTACATTAATTAGATAATTAATCTCATTAATATAAAGAAAGTATTGTAATTTCAAATTTTTAAAAAATTTAAAGCGATTGCATTTGTTAAAATTAAATTAATGATAATTTAGAAAATCTTGAAGAATCTATTGAAGATACAAAAAACATTAACTAAAATATGGAAATATAAGCTTTTAAATAACATCAAATATAAGAATAAAACTAATAATCAGAAAATTGATATAAAAATAATAATTATAATTTAGTTTTTTTAATTAATAAATACCTTATATAATTATATTATATATAGAAAATTTTTTTAATATATATATATATATATATATATAATATATATATATATATATATATAAATATTTTATAACAATTTTAGTGAATATTATTTACAAATATATAAACTAATTATATATAATAAATAATAATTTAAATTATTTTAATATTTTAGATTAGAATTTTTTGTAATTTTTTTTAATTTCATAAATCTATTAAATTACCATCACTCATTTAATCCTATTTTAATTATTATTTTAATATTTCCGCTTTTTTAAGAATAATAATTTAATTTTATATAATATTATATTATTCTTCAATTTTAGAATCAATTAAATACTTCTATATATTTATTTAATTTTAATATAAAAGTTTATTAAAATAAAATTTATATTTATACTTTATATATATCTTAATAACTTTATTTTTCTTAAAATTTAGCTATAAACCTTAAAATAAAACCGAATTATATTATTTTTAAAATAGAATTCACTATATTAAATATAATCCATAAACTACTTATTTATTTTTATATAGTGAGATAACAGTAATCATAAATAAGAGAAAAAAGAACTAAAAAAGCTATTTTATTTAAATAATCTCTTGAAAAATTTTAATCAAGTAAAAATAAAGTTTATGAAATTTAAACAAAAATCTTTAATTTTTATTTTTATTTTTTTTTTTTAAAAAAAAAAAAATTATTAAAATAATTTAAAAAAATTATTAAAATACATCAATTAAAGCATTTCTTTAAAAATTAATTATAATACCAAAAAACAATAAGATAAAATTAATAAGAAAATTCGAATAATGATATTTGTTTTCAGCAATAATTATTTGCTATTCTCCTTTATTAATTTCATTTGAAAATATAGCTAACTATTCTTTTCTTTCTAATATAGCTAAATATTATTTCTTTGTAATAAAAATTGTTTTAAAGCTTCTTTTTTTTGACTATCTTAATATATCTATAAAATTTATTGGATAAACTACATTCTATGAACTTTTAGTATTATTTTTATTTTAAAAAGCAGGTATTTTTTTCTGTTTTTCGGTAAATATAAATTAATTATTATATTTATCTTCTATATAATTTATTTGTTAAGTATTATAATTTATTTAGAAAAGATAAATTATATATTATTCTGGTAAAACAATAAAATTAATTTTATTATCAATAATTTAATAATCTTCAATTAAAACTAATTAAGGACAATCTTTTTTGAATTAAAAAAAACTTTATATAATTTAATCATTAGTACTATTTTTAAAATAAATATAATGTATTCCACAAAAATCACCATATTTTATATATAAATCGCCAATTTTTTTAGTTTTATCATTTTATTAAAATTAATTATAAATTATATTTTTAAAAACTAAAAATTCATCTTTTAAATAAACATAACTTAATTCTACAGATCTTTAACTATATGTACCTTGAATATTTATAAATATATATATATATATTAAATAAACATTATTTAATATAATTATATCTATATATATTTTTATATATATATTTTTATATATAATACTTATATTATATTCTGTTTTTGTATTTTCTTAATTAAGTTATTAGTTCCAATTTATATAAACCAGAATTAAATATTATCCTGGATTTAATTTATCTTATATATAAAAGTTTTCCGGAGAATACTCAATTTTTTCCTTTATAATTTTTGTTTAGTTTTCATTTAATATTTCAACTAAAATAATACTTGCAAAATTTATATTTTAAGTGCTTTTTTTATAAAATTAAATAAAGCATTAACTTTATTCTTTTATACTAATTTTTATAAAATTAATTTAATTTAAATGACTCACATCTTCCTAAATACTTATATTATTAAATAAATAATCATCATGTATTAATTATTCACAAAAATTATAAAAATACTCTTTCATATCTCCAAAACTAATCCAAAATTCCTAAATATTAGTATTTTTTCTTATATCCTCTAATTTATATTCATTCCATTTCCTACATTATTACGACCAATCCCCATTCCAATCTGTTTTTCTATTTTGTTATTATTAATAAAATTACACAAATATATATAAATATAAAAATATAAATATATATATATAAATATATATATTTATAATAATAATTATATATATATTTAAATATATAACCCAAAAACATTTCTTATTTTAACCAAAATTAATTAATAATTAAAATCAATTTTAATATCTAAAATTTAATAATACATATTTTTTACAATTCCATTTTTATCTTTATTTCCTTAACAAAATACTACATATCCTAATTATAAGCTTTTTTTTAAATATCCTTCTAAATCATTTATAATATTTTTTCCAAAAACCTATTAAAAGAACTACCTGTTAAATGCATTAAAGTCTAACTAACATCCCCTTCTATAATATTAGAATAACTTCCATATATTTTAGCGAGTGCTTTTTCGATTAAATTAACAAATAAGTCTCCATTCTACTAATAACTAAAAGCAAAAGTCAATTTTTATTTTTTTCTTAAAAAAGGCATAAAATCATCTATTATAATAGGACTCCATATTCCAAATATACACATCCAGACACAAAAAAATCCGTTTTTTCCGACTTCTTTTTCCTCAAAAAGTCTTTAAATTAAAAAAGGCTTATTTATAAGTGTACTTAAAGCAAAAATTAAATGTTAACTTTTTAATAATCCTTCTATAAATAAATAAGATAGATTTTATTATTCTTTTATTATTTTCATATTCATCATACCTTCAGTTTCACAAAGTCTTTCCCACATAATGTCTTTTTTATTTAATTTTTTACCTAATATATTTTTTTATTTAAATGAAAATTCCTCATCTTTATATGGCTTTTTTTATTATTCTTATTTTTTTAATTTAACTTTATATTGGCTGATTATATTTGATATTTCAGAACTCAAGAAATTAAATATAGTTATTTATTAATACATATTACTTTAATCTACTGTTGTGATATTTCCAATTAATTTTCTATAATATAATCCTTAGTCTTTGGAATTTTTTATTGATTTTAAATTCGTTTGATTTAGCTATATATCTACTATACTTTATTTTGCTTGTTTTTGATAATATGAATGTTATTCGTTAAAAATTTAGTTTTGATTGAATTAATTGCTTTTATTATGTTCTTTTGTTTCGAAAATGGATTTTAATTACATATTATATTTTATTTTAATGTGTTAATTGTTTTATTATTATTAATTTTATTTTTATAAATTTTTTTTTTTAAAAAAAAAAAATATTTACTTTTTACTGTTTTATTTAAAACACAATTAATTATATATATTAAATTATAAAAATAGTACTTTTTAAAATATTAAACCTTATTTAATTTTTTATTATTTTACATAAATAAATTATTTATTTATACATACAAATAAAAACAAGAGAAAAAAAAAAAAAAAAAATGAGTAATATCTAATTAAAAAATACTCATATATTTTTTATCTTTTTATAAATATAAATAAAAAATATATATTATTATTTTTATAATAATGGTTATATGTATGCAAATTAAAGAAAACTTAATATTTTAAATACCTTTAGTCATTTATTTTCCGAAAGAAAATAAAAACCATAAGTATTAATTAAAAAATCACATATTTTTCAACTAATAAACCAAACAAGTATAAATTTAACTTATAAGATTAATAATATGATTATATAGTTTATATTCATATTATATACACCATTAAAAGGCGACTAATATTATTTTTATTAGAAGTATATGTTTAATATTTTTTATATATATTTTTTTTTATCATTGCTTGAAAAAAGAAAATTAGTCTCATAAATTTAATGAACATATACATATTTTAATTAAAAATATAAAGTCAAGAAAAATTTTTAATATTTAATACATATATATATATTTGATTTCTTTAATTTAGTATTATGAAAAAAAAATTAGTTGTTTTTGTTTTTTTTTTCTTATTTACAATTTTTAATATATATATAATATAGTTTAAAATTTTTTGTTAAAAAACAAATTATGGAAAAATTAAAAAATACATTATAT